CCACATAAGCAGTGCTACCAAATTCACAATTAACGGGTGAATATTCAGCGGGGAAGAATCTCATAATAGCAATGAAAGAGAGCCCACTGGCCAACAGCAGGCAGTGTTATGGAGGGGTGGGGGGATAGCACCAAGGCGCAAGACCAGGTGCTACTGTGCCTTCTCCATGGCATAATGTGTCTGTGACTAAACTAATCTGTTTGACTGCACTGTTGCTTTGATCCCACAGAGAGAGGGAGAGAGGGAGTAGAGAGAAAAAGAAAGAGAGAGAGGGTGATGGGCTGTAGCTGTGCTAGAAGCCTGATACGGCAGATATTTGTCTCAAAATGCTGACGACCTGAAAAAAAAACACCTGCATCAAGCTGCATCTCAGCTCTTGTGCTTCTGATGTCATTATCTTTTATTACGCCACTCGCAATGCTGACTGTAATTACTGTTCAATTAATTATCCCAAGCTGCATTTGAGAAGCCATGAAGCAGTCAGTTTTGTCACAAAAGCATTGATAAACAAGAAATGGATGAGTACTGACTTCCATCGTGCATGGTTTGAGCTTTAGTCCCTCTGTACAGCCATTTGAAATTTCATCATAATATTTGAGTCCTTGTGTGCTTGTAAGAGGTGCTTGTGATGCTATTCCCACAAGCAGCAAGTATCATTCTGGGTGCAGCAGTAAAAGAAAAATCGGCATCAGCCACCACAAAATGCCTCACCTCATCCCCTTCGCCTCTTCCACACACATACTCACATTCTATCTCTCACATACACACGCACACACCTTTCATCATTCTCTTCACATCTCTATCCGAGTGCTCTCAGTGCATTGCCGGTGGCTGGAGCACGACACAAGGAATCTCAGGATGAGGCTTTATAAATATATGGATGGCAAGGAATGCATTTCAAGCGCTGCAGCCTGGTGACGATCAGCCGAGAGAGGAGGAGCGTTGTGAGAGGAATTTAAAATAAATGAAGCTGTTGAATTATTTAGCGCTACAAACCGAGAATTCAGCCTTCGCTTTTAGATGGGCTTGGAAAAATCGCCACAAAAAAACCATAATGCACTCAGTGCCCCCTACACTTCTCCCCCATCAACACCCCATCAGCCTACCCACTTCACTGTTGCGATCAGACTCATGCAGTCCATTGCACAAGGAAGATTCCAGAAGGATACAACAGGTAATGCTATACATGTGGTCGTCTCCCCGCACATGCTCTGTCCCCCCTCCTTTTATGGTGGGCTGCCCGTTGAGGATGAGCATGGCTGGCTGCATTTTCATTACGGGAAGCATGCGGCGAGAGAGAAAAAGAGAAAGAGAGCAAGAGAGAGGAAGACAGAGAAGTCAGCGTAAGCATTTCTGTCCGCCAGCCAGTTCAGGAAAGGTGGGGGAAGTGGAGTGGGGGACAAGACAAATGGTGGCAAAGCGGAGCAGGGCCCTAATCAATATGTGGCTCTCCTGATGAAACAGAAATGATAAATCAGTCCCAGGCAGGCTCATCATCATCAACATCATCAACACTGCAGAGGGAGAGGCCACAGGTCAAATATGGAATGCCCCGGGGCTGACCGCAGGCTACACGGCCAAAAGCAAGCAGAGGAGATGGAAAATGCCCTGCGTGTGTGCACTTGTATGCATGTTTATGTAGTGTGGGCTTCCTCAGCCAACCTGAGAAGCAGGTTCTCAGTGGCCAGAAGCCACTGTTCTACACATACTCACAGTCAGCCCACATGCACTGCACGGTCAACCCCCACAAATCCCAGCAAAGCCAGCCAGCCATGCTGATTAGCAGCAGGGTCAAAGAAAGAGGAAGCAGTGGAGTTAAGCAGGTCTGAGCAGTCCTGCTGCATTTTAGCACGTCAACCCCGTCATTTCCCCCATAGATAGCGCTGACCCGAAAGGTCGTGGAAGACATGAAGGAGAGAAGGAGAAGCATGCTGTAGCATTCTGAGAAGCATTTAAAGCCCCCCAAAAAAGAGCATGTATCCCGGTGCTGAGTACCAGAAAGGCGAAACCCTCAGAGAAAAAAAAAATACAAAAGGAGGAAACCCAACAAGAGGAGAGGAATTGCTCCATCACACATCAAAAGCCTGCAGTGGGCTCTTTTGGTACAGGCCACTGTTAGTTAACACAGTGCGATGAACCCAAGCACCTCCGTCTCCAGATCTCCTCAGGGGTTCACTTCAAAAACCTGAGTATCTCCAAATTACCAAACATAACTTTGGACTTGAATGAGAGGAAAGGAAGAGGAGGAGACGATCAGCTAAACAGGACATTACATGCTAAACAACTTGAAATTTGTTTGTGTTTGGAAAAACCCATTACAAAGGTTTATAACAGTACTCCACTATGGAGATCTGGACGGAAAGTCATTCAGAATCTGAGCTAGACCACCATCGTCTAAGCTGTTGCCCGTGTGCGCCTGGGAACAATCTGGCCTGAAATTCTTCAGTGCTAAGCCACCCAGCTGGCTTGGACACAAAACACACACATGACAAGCAATTCTCCAATGCAGGGTACCCTGAAGTAGCAAGAAGAAAACAACGTGTTTTATACGTGGAATGCTTTTGTCTGTCTACACCATTTTGCTGTTTTGCAAAAAAGCGTCGAAATTGAATGCTATCACATTTCCGTCAGGTCTGCGCCCTCCTCACAACACGCCAGTGGCTTCAAGGGCTTGAGAGTACATCAAAGGCAGCTATGTGATTTCGCCTTCCTGTCATTACAATCTCCAGAGCTTTTCCACACAAGGCCCTGGCCCCGCTCTCCCAAAGCCGTCCTTAACGGGCTTCTCTGTACACCATATTACAGCAATATTAAGAAAGGCAGAATATTCTTTTCTTAGCTAGGCTCTCACAGACCACGGCTCTTCTATGTAGTGTGGACATCCTCACAAAGCACCTATAACTGGAGGGGTCGATGGAGCGATGGAGCCAAAAAGGCTGCAATAATGACACCAGGCTCATCAGTGACAGCAATAATGCCTGCTCGAACAAATATTGAGTCACAGAGCAAAATATTGGTGCTTACGGCAGTAGAAACAAGGTGAATATGCTGACCTAGCTGATACTAAAAGGAAACCCGGAGAAAGAGTAAGTCTGCATAATGATTATATTGCTCTTCCTCTATTACAGCTGCTATCTATAACGCTTACGTTGCCTGTCTCATGAGGATTTAGCCTAACAGGTTATAGTGTCAACAGGTTACGGGAGAGCAAAACAATAAAGAGGCAGTAAAACTGCTCAGAGCAAAAGCTGAACTTTGTAAAATAGCCACCAGTTAGGCAATTGTCCAACATCATTCTTTCAATGCAATTTTAACAACCTACAAACAGTCTGGCCCACATTAACTTTGTAATAGCCCTCAGGGAGTTAAGGACCAAGAGCAAGGACTACCCTATGTAAAAATAATTAAGACAACATTATAGTCAGCTACTGTAAATAACTGTCAGTTTTGGTAAATTTTATCAGTTCAATAACACTGTTGCAACTTGGCATGGTATTCCACAAATCAGCAACACATATTCAATGCACGTGTTTGGTTGCTTCTGATAGGCCTATTTCATCTACGAGCAGTTCATAAACTGAGTGTTAAGTTAAATTTACATAGTCCTGTATTAAAATAATTTATCTTTCAGCCCTATGAGGATTTGTTCAACTGACACAAGTACAATATCAGAACATGCTAGGCTTGCAGAGCAGAGGACACTCAATTTAACAGGCCTGTGAGACATCCTCATACAACACTCTACGGTCTAATTCAGGGATATTCAGATCACATCCATTCTTTAAAGTAATAGTAATACAGATTTCCCACTTTTACTTTGCCTTTAAGTTCATTAACTGTTAAACTCACCACTGGTGATTTGGATCTACGGTGCACATTTCAATTCCTTTGAGAGTCACTAACAAATGGCCACAACGAAAAGAGTGAGATCATCAATAATAATTATTTGGATTTGCTGTCTAAACATCTTAGCTGCAGGCAAATCTGCTCACTCTTACAACTTCCTTCACTACACCTAAATTATGCTTTATACTCCCATGGCCTTTTGGGCCATGTCTGCAGAAAGCACACACTGCAACGTGTAAAGCACAAACGAGTACATAGAGGGCTTGAAATGAGAAGCAGAAAGAGTTTCAATAGCACCCTAACCAGAACCATGCCTCTCACTACATGAACGCTGACCAGACAACAGTGGCTCGTACTGACCTGACAGCTAATGGAGACAAAGTTTTAACGCAAAGCATCCGAGCTGCGTAATGAAACCAAATAAAGTTCCCATCTAAAACGGTTGCGACGTTAGCTTAATGAAGGGCATTAGGAAATTAATTATCGGATTCGGGCTTAGCTTAGCTTGCAAGACCAGGCTAAAGTGGTTGATTAACGCTGGCTGGACTGTAGCTGGACGTCTAATTAGGCGAGACATCGTTCAGTGTAGAGTCAACTTCAGCTGGAGCTCCATAGAAGTAGCTCAGCGGTGTCCTGCAGAAACTCTCTTCTTGTTTTCGAGATGCTAACGCGGGCGCAGTGCCACTGTACTACATGTACTAGCCACAACAGCAAGGAGGAAGTGAGATATCTTAGATATTTATCCGAGTGGCTGGAGCCGTGACTGCCGTGAGAGAGACGTTAAGTAATGGCAGTAACGTGAGAGAGACGTCAAGTAACGACAGTTACGGCACCTCTATTTAACTCACACTCGCAACGAAGCACACAGACCAGCTTCTCCCTAAATATTCAGTCAAGTCTTTCACCACGTCAGCTGCAGAGGCTGGAGAGAGGAGCTAGTCAGTCAGCGAAGCTGTCGCTCCGTGTAAATTCAGCTCCTTTCGCATGCTAACTAACTAACTCAGCTCCTACTACGGCAGGAACACTGCTGTCTTCCTCAGACCGCTCAGCCTGATAACGTGACTGACTGCTACCGCTACAACCGCACTAGTAACGACTACAGTACAGCCATTCAGCTGCTGTGTGGCGTTTGGGTTTAGTCGTCGGCGACTTACCAGACGATTGAGCCTCCTCCGTAGCATATTTGACTCCTCTGTCTTCTTTGGTACCTGAAGACGCCGTAAAACTGCTGCTGTTCCTTTTTAATCAGCCAACCACGGGCTCCTGGAGCTTCACTGGCAATGAGTAACTTTGCATGTATGACGGCAATTAAGCGCGTTAGCTAGCTAGCTATCTATTTTCTACCCTATTTCTCCGAGCTATATGAAGTGCGGCGGTGAAGCTACATCGTTTCCATTCGGTTTGACTTCTTGCCTCTCGAACAATTTGCATATTCTCCTCTCCGGTTTGTTCCCGCGGTGGCGGTGGGCAGGGGCTGCTAGTCGCGGGAGCTCCCCGTGCACGACGCTGCTGCTCCGGTCAGCGGCATCCTGGTCTCTGCCCTGTTGCTGAGCTTCAATAAAAGAACAGACAGCTGCGTCGCCCTCCGTCCGTTCACACCGAACAGGAGCACACAAAACTAACGTTACACACCTACGGGCAGAAAGTGACCGGAATTCAGTGGCAGAGGATGCGCTCGTCTGTCTCGCGTGTCGCCACCTCCGTCTCTCACCACTCTACTCTGTCAAAATTTACTCTCACCCCCGCCCCAACTCAACGCAAGAAACAAGCCCCGCCCATCGTCATAGCGCGGTGTTTCATGGGAAATGTAGTTTTTTTTTACTCTACCGTTTACGACACGCGACATTACATCGTTTTCAGTGGTGTGAAAACTTTTTTTTTCAAGTTTTTAAATCTACAAACTTTCTAAAAACTACAATTTACGTATTGCATTGCGAAAAATAAAATGCTAATAATAATTATTAGTATTTTTTTAAATTCACATATAGGCCTACATTATTTACATATTCAAATGTAAATGCGTGTTGTTCATTAATTTATCCATTTTTATTGTTATGTTTTAAAATGGGTGATTTCATTTCATGCTTTTTTTTCGTGCATTTGTTCGTAAATGTTCAACAATTATGAATTTGACGTCAGAGAGTTAAAGGCATAATGTAGCTGTTGAATGTGTTGTTTTTAGACACTTATTTTAATTTGAGTTGAATTAAATGTGTCTAATAAATAGTATAAATTAAAGCGTTGAGAAAGATAGAGAGAGAGGGCTTTAATCTAAGTTTCGGACTAATAATGAATGGGTTTGGTTATAGCGTCCCCTTGTGGCTAATGCTCTGACTGCATTCAAGCGACCCAAACTTTCTTACTTTTGCAAACTTATCAGAAGGCTAAGAGCTATTTTATATATATATATATATATATATATATATATATATATATATATATATATATATATATATGTGTGTGTGTGTGTGTGTATACATAGTTTTTTTTAACAATTTGAATCTATTAAGTAATGTTGTTAAATTGTAACTGATTATTCTTCCAAGCAAGCAAATTATATTCCACTAAATGTTAAAGATACATATTTTAAAACAATTCCTGATTTCTAAAGTGAGCTATGTAAAAACTACTTCCAATATGCATCTATCACAAACGCACTAATATCACAGGGAATAGAATGAGCCAGGATAACTGCTTTAGAAACTCCAACTTATCTCATTCTCCTACAGTTCTACCATATGCAATAACTGACATAGAATAGAATGCATGTAATCAACTCACCCAGGACTGCAGGAGATTTTACTGCTGCACACTTGCTTGAATTTTATGGTTATTTTATGTTTCCATATGTCATCGCTCCTTCTCAGCTGCAGATACGCAGGCGATTAAAGCTAGTACAGCTAGAATACTAATCAAGCTAATAAAAAAGTAATAATTATATACTAAAGTATTTTTGAAAATACACTTAAATAGTTTAAATAATGCATTATATAATAATTTATTAAATAACATAAGGATGTAATGTACAACCCCATTTCTAAAAAAGTTGTGATGCTGTGCAGAATGTAAACCATATTTTAAAGGAAAATAGTACAAAGACAACATATCAAATGTTGAAATTAAGAAATTGTATTGTTTTTTGAAAAATATATGCCCATTTTGAATTTGATGCCGACAACTAGCTCCTAAAAAGTTGGGACGGGGGCATTTTTACCACTGTGTTTCATCGCCTCTTCTTTTAACAGCACTTTGTAAGCGTTTGGGAACTGAGGAGACCAATTACTGTAGTTTTGAAAGTAAAATGTTTTCCCATTCTTGTTTGATACAGGATTTCAGCTGCTCAACAGTTCAGGGTCTCCTTTATCATATTTTTCATTTCATAACCCTCCAAATGTTTTCAGTGGTGATGGGTCTGGACTGCAGGCAGGCCAGTTTAGCACCCGGACTCTTTTAATACGGAGCAATATTGTTGTAATACATGCAGAATGTGGTTTGGCTTTGCCTTACTGAAATAAGCAAGGCCTTCCCTGAAAAAGACGTCATCTGGATGGCAGCATATGTTGCCAAAATATGTATATATCATGCAGCACTAATGGTGCCTTCACAGATGTGTACATCATCAATGCCATGTGCACTAATGCACCCCTATACCATCTTGAATACTGGCTTTTGAATTGTGTGTTGATAACAAGCTGAGTGGTCTTTAGTCCTGAGGACACAGTGTCCATGATTTCCAAAAAGAATTTCAAATGTTGATTTGTCAGACCACAGGACACTTTTCCACTTCCCCTCAGTCTATTTTAAATAAGCTCGGGCCCAGAGAAGGTGGCCGCATTTTGGATCCTGTTTATATATGATCTCGTCTTTGCATTTTAGAGTTTTCACTTGCATTTGTGGATGCAGCGATGGACTGTTTTCACAGACAGTGGTTTTCAGAAGTGTTTCTGAACCCGTGCAGTGATTTCCACTACAGAATCATGTCTGTTTTTAATGCAGTGCTGTCTGAGGGTCCAAAGATCATGGCCAGCAAATACTGGTTTTTGGCCTTGTCCCTTGCATACAGAGATTGTTATTATTGTTATAATGTTATTATGTACTGTAGATGATGAAAAGCAAAAGTTCTTTGTTATTTTATGTTGAGAAATGTTATTTTTGAATTGTTGCACTATTTGCCTGTACAGTCTTTCACAGAGTGGTGAACCCCTCCTCATCTTTACTTCTGAAAGACTCAGCCACTCTGGGATGCTATTTGTTACACCCAGTGATGTTACTGACCTGTTGCCAATTAACCATCAGGTGTTTTTTTAGCATTACACAACTTTGCCAGCCTTTTGTTGCCCCCGTCCCAACTTTTTTGGAACACGTTGTTGGCATCAAATTCAAAATGGGCAAATATTTTTCAAAAAACAATACAATTTCTCAGTTTCAACATTTGATATGTTGTCTTTGTACTATTTTCAATTAAATATTTCAATTAAATTTGCTCATCATTGCATTTTGTTTTCATTTACATTTTGCACAGCGTCCCAATTGTTTCGGAAATGGGGTAGTAGTTGAAGTGTTTTCTCCTTGCAGTTGTACGAGACCAACTTGAACCTAATTTTGTGCCCTTTTTGTACTGTATTGTTCTTCAGCGGTGCACTCTAGTTAACAGAAAAAAGACTAAAATTGTTAAAATGCCCATATCCTACTTTTTTTTTCTTTTTTGGTGTTTATTATTTTCCTTGAGGTCATCTTATGACATTTGTGTAGTATTATGTACTGAAAAGATTTTGACACTAACAGAGTTTTTGTTACTGTCCATTTAAGGTTGATATGTAAATTACTTTTGTTCTGATTGGCTGTACTGTATTGTATTTGATTAAGGGTCAAAAACTCCTTATAACTTTAGCCTTAGTGGGTGGGCCTACTGTTGTAAGCTGAATTGTCAGACGTATGTAAATGCATTGTTTTTTGTGACATCACAAAATAGTGACTTCAGAACAGCTCTTTGTGCAGATTACTTTCCATCAATGGACTGTATATGTTAAGTAAACTGTAAAAATGCCTGCACGATTGACTCTTTTATTTTTAAATTAGCTTTCCATGATATGAGCCCTTTAAAAAAACACTTTTCAACACAACAAAAATTACTATTACTTTAACAGTAGCTGGATGAATGACCAAAACATTATATGTTTATGTGTCAGGCCCAATTGGAGAATCAAAATACTTATACTGTTTTGAAAATAAACAGTGGTCATTTTCAGTGGTGGAAAATACAGGCAGATTCTCCACTGCACCTTCGGACAGAATGTCCTTGAGAAATGAGGCGGGCACCACTGAGAAATTTCTAAAATCCAGTAAAAAATGTTCCTACATTGAGCTCAGACAATGATGGTGTGGATCTTGAAAAAATATCAGAAGGACAAACGAAAGCACAGACTAAAAGAGTCTGAAAAGACAAAAATAATACAAATAAATAATGTAGACCTACACATATAATTTGATATGAAGTTATCAAGTTGCACTTAATATATCTGCTTGAAAAAAGTTTGAAAAATCACGATCTACAAATCATTTTCTTTAAAAAACATCTTTTATTGCTCAGATTAGACTTAAAACCAACTGTTGTGTTCAAACAGGTGCACTTTGCCCACCCTCAGTTAATCTAAGACAAATCGTTTGTACTGTTGCAGTATAAAATCGTTTAGAGTGTTTAGAAGACAGCAAAGTAAGTCTTAGTAAAGATTTAACATGATTTAAAGAAAAGATGTGACCCACGGCATTACAGAGACATTTATAAGCAAGTTTTTGGAAGACTACAAGGGAAGGTCCTAAAAGGTAAATGTGTCATTTTGCTGCCAAACTAAGCCCAGTTTGTGAGCAGCACAGCATCACCAGTAGACGCTGCCTGGGGCAGTAGTGGGGAAAGTGCCTCAACAAGGGCACAACAAGGAATACCTGGATTGACACCTGTGACCTTCTGGTTGTTGGCTCACCTGTCTTACCAACAGGCTACCAGCCACCTCAGAGCCAATCAAGACACAGACCATTTACACGTCAGATATCAGTCTTCAACATAAACCTAGTGTTGTAGTCAAGACTATTAACGACGAGTCCAAGTCAAGACTGATTCAGAATCACCATCTAAATTCAACTGAATATAAACCAAACAACATGAAGCACATCAATTTTTATTGCTAAATGAAAACATGGTAATAATAACATTCTTATCTGACCTCAGATGTTTGAATTTTGGAACCAATGAACATTGACAAATAAATAGTATCCAGAAAAATTAGAAAACAATTAGATGCTGAAATGGCAGCAAACAGATTTTATTTAAGTGTGTAGAGAAAGGGATGTGTTATTCTGTTCTAGTTTTGTCGATAATCAATAATGATAGAAAAGTGTTCAGTTTTCAGTTATCTCAGATGGAGGTATTGCACTCAACTGGTCTAGAGAAACCCACACAAACGCCATAATAGAATACAAGATCTGATTGGCTGTGCTGTATTGCACCTGATTAAGGATAAAACACTCCGCCCAACTTCAGCCTTAATGGACGGGCCTAAACTGCAGTAGGCTGAAAAGACTGAAAGGGGTCAGCAACATGCAGCTCTTTTACTGCCCTCTTGTGGCTCCACAGCAGAATTAGATTTTTAGGTAAAAATAAAAGAATCCTCCTTTGCAGTGAAATAAAGCTCTGATGATCGTGCTAACACAGTTCTAACAACAAATGGTCT